ACAGGTAATGTTAGAAGATACATCTTTAATGCTTACTGGTAAGGGGAGAGGTGAAGGTTAAGGACAGCAGTGCAGATTCTTTTAGGTTGGAACGGGCCTTGGAAAGTAATCTAGTTCAACCCTCCACAAAAACCCAGATTAGTTAGATCCAACTTGAAGGTCAGATGGGGCTGCTCGGGGCTGTGTCCAGTTGAGTTTTGAACATGGAGGTCACACGGCCTCGCTGGGCAGCTGGTTCGTGTCTGACCAAATGTTGCTCCTCGGATTGGGACTGAAACTAGCAAACGCCTTGTTCAAACTGTTCTACAAAGTGTCCTAGAAAGATTTAGAGTATTTTTCTAAGTACGAGGGAAAAGGCACAGATCGAGACTTAACGGCAGAAGCATTTGTTAGAATATCTACTGACATTTCAATACCAATTTAGGAAAAACATACATGAAGTCACTATTATGCATTGGTGAAGCACTACTTGGAAAAATACAGCGTATCAGAGGAGGTCTCACTGTCCTCTCTTTCATTTTCCAAGGGAGGAGCCCCGTTTTCAGGTTCCCTTTCAGCTTCTTACCTCCCTTATGGATATTGATGTGCTCATGACCAAATGGAGATGTAAGTTTCACTTCTTGACTGTGACACTCCCTCTTTTAGATGCGAGTAAATTTTTCTATTTCACCCTCTTTTAGACAAGTTATACCCACAGTTTTAGAATTGCGCTTCTGAGTTCATCCTTTAGGAATGACTTTTCTTTGTTTGTACTTTGGCCAACAGGAAAGATGAACAGCTGCTTCTGTAATCATCAGATACATAGGTATAGCTATCACTTCTGTGACATGCTTTAAGTTAGGTGAACAATTTTATTTAAGGGACAGGTATATATTTTTCAATGTCTCCCAAAATGTCATCATGACATCTCTTCATATGCAAACATATGCTCCTTCCCTATCTAGACATCTGTAAATAAATGTATTCATTCTGTACTAACAGAGCACAATAATGTATAATAATTATTGTATTCATTCTGTATTAACAATGATTTTATATTAGTTGACTGAAGAGTGCCATAATTAACTCCTGCATTGCCGAAGACCTAGTAGTTCTGTCTCTCTGTAAAGATCTCCATACGATTTAGTATTTCAGTGACGCACCTTGATGTGACCCTTTGGTTGTATCTTAACACTGAACATATGCCCTGTCCTTCTTTGGTATTACTTAGATAACCACGTCTGCATGGTGCACAGAATGATTGGCAGCAAGGCTGGCACCGGAGGCTCATCAGGCTACCATTATTTGCGCTCAACAGTGAGGTAAGAATAACACATTTCCTCCATTACCTGCAATAATGCAGTTCGTAGATACTCTAATGCCAGGAGACAGATTACAGACAGCTCCTTGGAGCCCAGAGGGCTCTATGGGACTCCAGTATTTCCTCCTGGTTGTTGTACATTTAATCATGTTGACAGATATAAATTCCAAGTCTTTTGGGGCAAAAAGAACTCCTTTTGATCACTCATGCAAAGTATGATTATATGTATATATACATATATATATATATATATATATACACAAATGTATAATTCTCAGTCAAGGGATGTAGGCGTTACTGTACTAGCAATAATATTAACCCTGCATTGTTTAGTTTGTGTGCAAGCTAGCCCAGGTTAAGGAGGTGATACAGGCTGGAAGTGAGTCCCGTCTACTGTGCAACGGATGAGTGTTTCTGTATTCCTTAGCATGACCTCTAATGCTACAGTTAAGGTACTTCAGTTTAGGACTGAGTATATTCTTAAAACTGATAGTAATTAATACTCTCAAGCTGTGCAGGCAACAATTGGAAACATGTTTCCTTCTGTTGGATGAAGCAGAAAAGGCACTTTGAAAGGGATGGTTGGAGCCTGAGCACAGAATTCTCTGAATGAGTAGAACTTTTTTTACACAAAATCTGAGGATTCAGCTACTTGGACAATTCCAGCCTTCTAGCTGCAACTCTGTGCTGAACAACATTATGTCCAAAAGCGCAAGGATATTTCGAACATCTTCTTCTAAGAGGACCTTCTTTGAGGTTTGTTTTCAAAGACAAACCGTACACAGCTGGTGACTGCCATGTATGGCTGTGGGCAACGATTCCCATCACAATCATAGTAAGAGAAGGCGTAATAGAAAGCAGACAGTTAGATCGAATTCAAAGATTAAAGGTTCACTGTCTTTTTCAGCAAACCTTCTCACTCTTCCTTAATTTCAGGTTAACATTTTTCCTAGATAAATTCTACTTCATATCTACCACCGGAGTGGAGGTCTGGAGATTATAGCCTACCTGTTCTGTGTTTTCAGAAGCAAGATGTGACTATAGCAACCACATTTCCTTTTTAAGTCTAATCTGCTATGCCCTAGAAACAGTTAGGATTGGATTCTTACTCTGGAATATTCAGGGGGAGGGTTAGTGCAGAAACCTTCTCAAATAAATAGAGATAATTATTTCTGAGCATTTTGAAATTATAGCCTTCTATGCCAATATTGCAGTATTAATTGTTCTGTCTTTTTCAGTGATAGATACAAGGTGTTTGTGGATTTGTTCAATCTTTCAACGTTTCTAGTGCCAAGACACTGGATACCAAAGATGAACCCAACCATTCATAAATTCCTTTATACGGCAGAATACTGCGACAGCTCCTATTTTAGCAGCGATGACTCTGACTAGCCTGCCTTTCTAGACTGGTTGCTGTAAGGAACTTCAGGACTTTCACCTTGAGCGGTGCTATCCGTCAAATATAAGAGTTATTCTCATGGAGTGCGGTTGTGTAAATATCTATTTATGTATGACAGCTATGTGAATAGTATGATGGGCTTGTGGAAGAAACTTAATTGTTTGTAGAAGAATCATCTGTATTGAGTTAGCCTATATTAAGACTAAAATGATAGCCCATTTCAACTCAATGATCAATGTAAGTCTTAGTTGGCTTCTTAAAATGAACACCTAGAGAGAAGGAGCAAATTATACAGAACTATCATGATCATGTCTTATTTGTACATATTTTTGTATGTGTTTGTTTTCCTAATGGCTCTTAATTTACTTCCAGTTGAAGATGTAATTAGTCTCATCACCTTCAGAAGAATATTAGTTTCAGAGCTGTAGTAGAATTTCAAAACAAATCTTGGGTTAAGAGTTTCAAAAGCTAGATTTAAAAAAAACAAGTCCTGACTCTATAGAAACCCAGGCATCTTCAACTTTACATACATCAAGAATCATGTTGCTATCTATGTGTTACATGTGAATGTAAATCCCTTCTGTAGAAATACTGTTAAGAAGAGCAGATATAAATAAGTACTTACTTTGCACTTCAAATAAAGCAGTATTAAAGCTCATCTTTTGTTAAGTCTTCTTCTAAAGCAAGCATAAAGTTCAAACAACAGTATGACAGGCATTTAAAGTGTTTTTTATTCAAAATAGCATTGACATAGAGATAAAATTGATATATAATAAAAGCGAGGCAAATTTGGCCATAGAATATGGATAAAGGTGTGTCATCTTCTCATTAGCTGGACTCTTGTCTTTTTAAATGCTTCCCTTGGAAATACACATATGCTGTAGACTTAATTTCTGGCAAGATCCTTGGTATCTTAGCACTTTAGGTACTTATGTCTGGTAGTACCACCTCAAAAACACTGGTAAAACATCTGTCTTTGATACTATTATAACAACATTACTCTTACCAATGCCTGTTAGGAACTTTGGCTCTTGTTTTCCAGCTATGGAAGTGTGCTATTTGCTGTTTGTAAACTGCTAAGAGAAGGTCATACTACAGGAGACCATAAGACTACAGAATACTTCCCCTTTTGTTAATCTGAAGTTTTCAGCCTGTAAATTCAGTAAGTAGTAGAACCTGAAGTAGTGAAAGGTCGCACTTGGTCTTCCTTTCATTTAAAATATTAATACTTAGAAGTGGGACTAAAATGGCAATACTGACAATAGACAATTATGAACATTAATTGTATTTGTCATGAAAAGGTTATAATCCACTGATCTATTAACATGGCACAGTAATTAAGTGCAAAAATTACAAGAATTGCTTCAATACTTTTCATAGTAGTGCTTCACGAAAGATACAGAGCATTTTAGAATTGCATGTTTGGTTGTGAATTCTGGTTACATTTGCCTGCAACTGCAGTTTTACAGCTCAGCAAAGCTGGAACCCCTTCTTGACTCCCAGCAAGTCCCACCTATGAATTCAATTAACGTAGGGGAATTTAAGACCCACTCAGAGTATTCTGTAATTGCTGACTTTCTAAAGGTGGCAAATATATATTAACAAACCTCACCCTCGCAATTTTTTCTATAATAAATAAGTTTTTTAATTTTTGCTTTGTAACTGGCTTCACTGTTAGTCATGAAGTAGAGAAGAGAGAAGGCATGGAACTGGTACAGCTCTCAAAGCACAGAAAGGCTGATTTGCAAACACGTATATCCTGTCAGGACACAGGACATTAAACCACTAGAATTGCCTTCATTTGTCTAAATACAGTTACTTCTTACTTTTCTCTCCATCTAACAAATTAATGCAGAAGACTCTGATATTCCAGGCACTTTCCAAAACACGCTCCCTGCTCTGAAGAGCTTTGAAGTTATATTTACCCAATAAAGGTGCAATGACTGAAATGGAAGGACTGCAGCACTTCAGAAGCATTGGGTGCTCAGGAAACAACTTTAACTATCCATTACCCTCCTCTATTCTTCTCACTTTAGAGAAAAAGTAGGATTCCACAAAAAGGAGAAAGACAAAATGTGTGAGTCCGTCAGAGGTCTCAGAAAAGCCAAGACAAGTATCAAAAATAACAGAGTATTTTCTTCCAGCTGCCCGTCCTCCCCGCCAAATAAAAGTAGACGTAATCATGGGTCTTCTTATATTCAAAGCACTCCAATTGTACTCTGTCATACTATTATTTGATCCAAATTCCTTGTAAGATTTTTTATGGAGCAGCGTTCAACATCTGGATACAGTTCACATTCACAGTTTCAGTCCATCTTTGTAACTTCTTTTTGTGTACTCTGCAGTTGATCCTGAGTCTTCTTATTCCACGACAGATTCGATGCCCAACACACATTCCACATAAAAACATTTTTAAAAACTCCAGTCAACCCATGCCTGTACTGCCTAAAAGCAGGAATTGCCCTTACTGCAATTTCTTATTTGAGAAAATGTTGTTTTGAACTAAATCTTCGTAAACAGTGTGTGGCCAAATGATGCTTGTGGTCTTTGGCCAGTAAGTGTCAAACAAATACTGATGAAACTGTATCTGCTATACCTACAAATCAAACAAAAAAAGACTTTTTAATAAATACTGGAAGTGGAGATTTGCCAAGAATAAGTTCCCAGAATTCATATTCATATAATATTCTCCAGCATGCAGTGAAAGGAGGTGAACTGGGGTGGGGGGGGGGAAGGAGGGGGGCAAGGCAGGGAATCAGCTGCAACCTTTTTATACTGTTTATAGTCAAGATCTACTCTCCTCCTTCCTCTGCTTTCATGTTCAAAACTTTAGGTCCTTTGCTGAGTATTCAGCATTGGTCCTATCTAGGTGCTGAAAAGTAACCTATACTTTGATATCATCTTCCCTTTTTAATCACATGCATTAGCAATGTATAGACAATATGAAGCTATGCAGCTTTGAAAGCTCACCAAAAGACTAGAGATCGCAAATTCCATTCCAAGCCACATGTTTGAACACTCCTAAACATACAAACACAGAACAAACTAAGCTTTTAAGCCTGCCCAGTTCTTTTGGTATTGTACTCCTTTCAGTGCTAAAAGCAAACTCTGACTACAGTCTGTGAAGCTATCAAAGGGTGATCGCTCTTAGATGCTCAAAAGTGGCGTCAGAGCACCTCTAAATCAGAAGGCAACATCTGTGGAGGAAAGAGAGCAACTCCTGGCCTTTGCTGGATTGTTCTTGTGAGGCACACTACAGAAAATGTGAAAGATCCTGCCTTTTGAGAGAACAGGTTTTGAAAAATAACACGTCTGTTCTTCCTGACCACCTCTACAATTGACTTGCTTTAATTACCACTACTTCTAAATTACTCTTTCCAAATAGTCTGTTTATACAACAACAATAAGAACAAAAGTTTCAGCAACATGGAAGAGCTATGGATACATTGTCCTCACCTTTACTGAATGCAGGCAAACTGAGTATTATTTATTCTTATTTGCAGATGGTTTACATCATCTTACAATGACTGAGACTACTGTGAAACATACATGGAAGGGAAAAGCAACAGAAGACCTCCAGTGTCAACCTAACAGACGAGAATTCAATGGACACACAACACTTACTACCTTGTAGTCCAATCCCAGCAATTTGGCTCAGCAATCTTTGCTCATAAACAAGAGCTTCACTGGCCTTACCTCCATATCCAGCAACTCAGAACTGGGTACTTAACACTACAAAACCTGCTCAAACACCAAGAAAAAGGTCATGCAAATGGAAAGGGGGGGGGGAAGATGGAACTAGCACTAGAAGTACATACCTCTATCCTACAAGAAAAGCCACAAACAGCGTACAAAATTCCCAAGCACAGGCAAATCCACTTTCCATGTTTGTTTGCTAAACTGAGCCCAGAGATAATTGCATCCACCAGACAAGGACAGCAGCTGTTTTACGTACACTGAGTATAGCGATGGCACTAATCTAGAACCATGACACATGACTGTATATTTTACAATGTCCTTACCTCTACAATTGTACTTTATTTGTTATGCCTTATATAGCTTTACCTTTGCATGGTGTTTTTCAGTCATTCAACTATATGGCTTGGTTGAACTGGCAACCACTTTATTTATTTTTCCACCTGGACTCATATAACCTCTTCTAAAACATAGCAATGATTTGTATTTCCTCTCTGAGGATCCCATTATATCACTTCACTTACACGGAGAAACATCCCAGCATGTGGCCTTCACCACTTTAATTATTTTTTGTCAGACTCACCACAGACATTGCCGCCTATCTTAACACGAACATAGCCGTCTATTCCCCATGTAGGCCCCCAAGAGTTCTGTACAATCCAGTAAGGGATACTACCTGGAAGAGATGTTTTCATAAACAAGAGGCAACATGAGATTTGGGAAGCATAAAAATATTTTAACACTCTACAGAGTTAATTACCATTTTAATATTTCATAGTTTCTGATAGTTTTATGATATACTACAGTGAAACCTACTGTTGTTTAGACAGAGGACAGAGCTAATATTCCAGTGTTGAAGAGACTGGATATATCCTCTGCTAGCATAAAGACACATGTAGCTGTGTTCCTGACTTTACAAGGACATGAAGTCCCACGGAACTGAAGGAGCACAGACAAGAGGAGTTTTTCTCCCGGGATCAGGCTGCACTTCCAGAACTGATGTGACACCAAACCAAACAGTTCTCAACAGAACACCCAGTTCTGGATTTTAATCACTTGTCCCACAGGAGTCAAGTTGCAAGTAAAGAGAAAAAACACAAAACCTAATGGGTTGAAGTTCAGTTGATGGAAACGCACCTGTTCTGTCAAAACCAGTGATAAGAACAGCATGATTTGCTTTTCCACTGGAGCAGTGGTATTGTATGATCCCACCAAGATAATCCTGCCAGCTAACTGCATCTACTGTTACTGTCAAAGGGCCCCAGTTAACAAGCACCCTCATCATTTCTTCTTCTTGACCACTGTGAAAGAAGTGAGTGATAATGCCAAGTTACTTAAGTTAGCACACTAAAGAATTTTGAGAGGTGGTAATCTACTTGTTAAGTACAATTTAAAAATCAAATAATTGAACTTTTTCCTCCTGAGTTCTACACACCATATAACACACATCAAGAATTACATATTTCATATACTATAACACAGTAATACAAATATAGGGCACACGTACTATGGGAAAGGTGCAGATCCAAAGATATGATGCTATTAAAAAGAAGCAGGTTTCTGGGTCAAGTCAGTGGGCAATGGTGAGCCCTATATACCTTTTATAAATTACTCTTCTGAATTAAAACCAGCTCTAGACAAACCGTTAGTCTATACTATTATTTCCCTTAGCTTTTGAAACATATAGAAGTGCCTCTTATACCATACATAGTATCACACTAAAATATGTATCTCAAACATATCAAAACACAGGACATTATCACTATCAGACATTTACCATTAGCATACTCGTACAGTTTTACTTATGTAATATACTGGAACAGGAAATCTTTATCACTGCATGATATGTGCAATAATTAAATTTGGCAAATACAGACTGGCAAAGCTATAATTGATTTTAGTTACTTTTATCTGGTAGTAATTCAATTCCTAGTCAAAATTATATTTCTTGTCTTTAAGTTCAGTATGCAGCTGTATTGTACTGATAAACTTCCTTGCTACAGAAACCTAAAAAGCTACCAGTTGTCTTTACAAAATTCTGTTGACAACACTATTTGTAAAGTCATGGACTGGAGGAGGATGCAGGTCAGCATGTAGATGGATGAATATCAAAGTAACTGAATAACTCCTAATTTTTTCAACAAATTCCAATTACTATTGGTAGGATTTACTGTTTCTGATACTTAAGCAGTGTAATGTTCACTTAGCATATATTACAAATTGTAACTGACTCAATGTTACAGTTTAAACATAGCCAATTTAAAAGACCTAATTTCAAGACACAGACTGAGCTCTCTAATTTGAACAGGCTTAGCGATGGCAAGATTGAGTGGATTCATTGTGGCAAGGCTTAACTCTCAAAATTATGTATTAATTCTTATCCAGTACACAGCTACATAACTGACGCAATCAACCTCATAACCTTTGGGGTCAATGCCCTATTGGCTCTAGCTTACTCCACAATTACTGAACACAGAAGGAAAAGTACAGCAAATAAAAAGAATCAATAGTAGCTACCTGAAGTCATATGCAGCAAATCCTGTTATTGAAACTCCAAAATCTGAGCGACCAAAATAATGGCACAGTCCTGTCTGAGCTTTAAAAGTATACTCTGAATCTCTCACGAGTTTTACTTTTGTCTGCAGGAAGATAATGAAAGAGAATTTAATGCATTTGACTTTAACACTATGCAGCTCAAAACACATTGAAAATGACCACAGAACTCACTCAAAATTCAGTGTGTTCTTGGTGAGATCAGAAAGAAGAATGTCATGTTGGGAAATAAGGTATTTACTATCTCTACTTTCCTTGTTCGCAGAGAAAACTTCAGAAGGGATTCAGAAGTCTTTAACTAATGAATGAAATTTAGAAGGTATCTCTGGTTTAAACTAGCCTCATCAGCAATCTCATCAGTTTCAAGACACAGAGACTATGCATTCATTTAACAAATGACTATTCATTCTCTTCAAATAACATCCACGCACAAACTTATCCTCTTCTCGAGACAGTTCAAGAACCACAAATATCCCAAGAACAACTGCATAAAATACTGAAATTAAGTCTGATTCTGCTATTAGCATCAAATCCTCATGCTAGTATATAATGCATTATAATGGCTGCCTCAGTTCAAAGTCCAGCTACAAAGCTATTGCATCAACCTTTTATACTTTCCTTGTCGTCTGTAGTTCAGAATGTTTATGACAGTGTCTCCTCCAGTCTAATTCACTTGTAGTCCCCCTGTTGTCAAGCAAGAGGGAATTCTACTTCAGAGGAATCCAGATGAACATCCTCTGTCTTTCTTGAAATACAAACTTAAACAAGTTATCTAGACTGTTATTAGCTGGGGTTATATGAATCTTCAGGGGTTAATTTCAGTTTCTTAAAAAGGACAATAAGGGGTTTTTTAAATCTTAAAAAAACTAAGGAATTCTTTTTACATTCTTATAACTCAAACTGTCATCCTAGAGAGTACTTTTTATTTCAAAGATATTAAAATGTTTCTGCTTACCTATACTATTAACACACATTTTGCATTTTTCATGAATGAAGTGTGCTAGCTACAACTAAGTAGAAATTATGCCTGCATTTTCATTGTTTTGGGTTGCAAGTGAAACAAAGGTAAACGCAGTCAATTTTATTCTGAGGTTCGTGCATGATTTTAGTGTTTGTCACAGAAATCATAGAAATTTGAAAGCAGAAATTCTCAACATCCCTCCTTTTTTCCAGATGCTGCTGCCTAAACTGGACACTCAAATCCACAAAATGGTGTGTGTACAAATGGTTCCTTCTACGCTGGTACCGTATGTCTGCAGTTCCAATTGAATTCAGTGGAAATACTATAGCTTTCAAGTAACATTATTTTCAACCGCTGTGGGTCGATTTGTTACATTCACAAGAACATATATAGACCATAAAATTCTAATCAAGTTTCAATTCTGCTTGAACAAACTCCCTCTTGATTCCAGACTAAATAAATACACATACACAGACATGTATATCCATGTATATGTACATAGACACACATACATTAAAAAAAATCAAATGAGCTGTACACTCCACCTTCCCCGTTACTATTTCCCACTAAAAAAAAAGATGTTAATAAGCTAAGGAGGGATTCAAGATTATGAAAAGTTTCAAACCTGGTTCAGCCAGCTCAAAGCACTAACAGTGGATCCCCCGCTGCAGCCGTAATTATTGTATGAACAGTCAATAACCTGCTGTACGCTGAGTTCTTCCAGGTTATTTCTTTTAATCGCATAGGCAGACTCTATACCACCCACAACGCTGAAAGCCCAGCAGCCTCCACACTGGTACAAGGAGAAGGGAAACAGAGAAGAGAGAAAGTCAGCTTTGTTTTTTAAGCCTGACAGGAAAAGAAAAAAAGAGTTAAAAGGGTCTTCTAATGCTTTTCATTTACATCATCCTTGAACTTGGTTTTTAAGGCAACAATAAAGAAATTTAATCAACCATTTAAAATATTGAACTGCTTTTTTCCCCTGTACTGCTCTCTGAAAGCTAGAAATGCATTATGAGTGTCTTATTTTAAGGATTCATCCCTGACTAATTTTTGCCCTTTAAGATAGGTCTGAGCATGCTTTTTACTGTCATTCTATTCTCTTAAAGAAGGATTGGGGCTCAGGATGAAATCATTTTTTAACCACATTAGTCCGTAAGTTTTTGAAAAGGATGCACTTAAGGAGACAGTCTACAACTTCCTACAGTCTGAAAAATTTTATAGAAATATATTAGATTATAGTTTAAGAAACTGTAAACTGAAATGAAACATAATAGAAAAATTCTTAGACAGTAATAGTGCCTATACTGCAGTTCTAGGCTCTTTATACTGTGGCACTTAAAATAGGAAGCAGAATTTATTCCTAGGCAAGGTCCAGGTTACACTATGTGAAGGACAGAAAACAAAGACATTGGGGATTTAACAGCTTGTTTGTTTCTTACCAGTTATTGTAAGCACTTTGGGATAAACTGTAATCACGTGGGATCTGATTATCTTCCTATCATGAATGCATCCTCTGAGGTGTTCAATGGTAAAGATATGGGTGTTGACGAGCCAAGGGCATTCAGCCATGACAGAAAACAACAGCAAAGGATCTATACCCACCCAGGTGAAACCTGAAAAGGTCAGGTACTGAACTTACCTCAGTCTCTTCAGAAAAATACAAAATACACATGCTGCAAAATATTTGCAGACTTAGTTAACTACATCAAAAAATGTATTACACACAGTTTATAATCGCACAATTTCTAAATGTACAATTTCTACACCTTATGCTTTTAAGCCTAATCTCACTTTGCATAAAACGCTACGTGACTTTGCATATAGTCAACCGGCCGTACTTGTGCCAGTGCTCCAAGGAGTCTTGAGGCAGTGCTGATCCCTTCCAAAACCTTCACTGTGCGCTATGATGTAGCTGCTGGAACTGTCTCCGAGCAGTGCTTCAGAACCGGGAAAGCAAAGCACCAGGACTTACTGTTTGCTGATTTCTCACTTCTGCAATGACTTTCTTGTCCCTCCAGTCAAACTTCTTTGGCAAGGGTTTTTCCTTTCTCTTTGGCGCGTTTATGTATCTGGGAAGTTTGTGAGGTGTGCTTCTTAAGTAAATAGCTAAACAAAGAATACAAACATCTATAAATCTACTAACTAAAAAAAAAACAACTCACAAGCAACTGTTTCACTAGAAGCCATAGAGGTAACTTTGATCTGTAGTTATAATCATGAGATTACATCTCAAATCCATAGAAAATTAATGTATTTTAAAATAACCATTATATTCCAGAATGAATGTAAATACTCCTACAGTTCTAGAAAGAACAGAAATAGTCCACGTAGGGAATGTGGGTACAAAGTGTGAAGATTTACTAAAACTGATCAATAACCATGCCATAAAACAAGTTTTGTTTGAAAATTTTCACAACATTTTACTTACTGGAAAAATATTACTTTATTTCAGTCAGGTAAAAGGGGAAAAATAGAGGAGAATTACATAAAGATTCTGAAACACACGTAAATTGCTAGTTTTTCACTAAAAAAAAGCTGCTTAATTATTTAAAATTCTAAAAAGTGTGAAATGCCCCAATGAATAGAACATACAACAGCAGATTTGAACAGCAAGGTGAGAAGATTAGGTTAGGTATTAGGCAAATTTTCTTAGTAAAAAAAATGAGGCATGTCATATTGCTCCTGAAAGTCATAGCTATCACTGTACAGCCATGAACCTCCAAGCATTGTCTGACTGTAGTCAATTTTGCCCTAGGGGGATAAGGAATAGGAACTTAAGAGTACTTGAGAACCTTGTATATTTTACAATTTTAAAACTGGGCTTTAAGGCCCGGAAAGAAGAAGGAAAGAAAGAAGAAGGAAAGAAAGAAGAAGGAAAGAAAGAAGGAAAGGTCTCTATACTAAATCCCATTCAGGCTCTGGGCAATTCAACCTTGCAAGCCTAGAGAAACGTGAATAGGATTGTTGTATCCTCCAGAAGTACTTACAGTTTGGTAACAGACATTGTAAACTAGCTGACTATCAGCACTGGAAGAATCTGTAAATGTGAAAGACACAGGGTTCTGGGAAAGAATAAGAAAAATAAGAGAAAAGGCATTAGCAGCAGCCAGAAAATGTACCTTTGAACTCTTCAGGAAACAGGTGAGAAAACTGATTTATTCCATAGAAAGCAGTCATATTATCTTTTGATGATGAATTCAGTAATCTGATTCTTTTAGCACTTTCCTAAGGAAAAAAAAAACAAAACACCATGGACATTATTAAGTTAGCAGTAGTGACAAAACCATAAAAGCAGAAAAAGAAAAGGTTAGCAATGGGAAACATGAACTTAGGTAACAAGACTGCTGTTCACCTCAGATTTGTCATGGATTCCCAGCAAACCAATACAAAAGCCATTAGACTAATTTCAACTCCAAGAAAGATACCAAAAAAGTATTTGTTGAGTGCATAGAGGGTAAAAAAATTGATACCAGACAGACAAAACAGGCAAGCTAAGAACAAATTGTGTCAAACTCATCTGATGCCCTTCTTTGACAGCACAACAAACCTTGTGGTTCAGAGATACGTAGGAGTGTCTTCAGATAAGAGTGAACCCTGTCTTGCTTTATGTCCTTATTAGGGAAAAGAACAGTATAA